GGGGGCGACCGGCTCACGGGCCGACGCCGTCGGGGGTCAGGAGGAGGAGGAGGAAGAGGAGGAGGAAGAGGAGGAGGAGGAGGAGATTTCAGATGTTAGATTGTAGCGCTCCGACTGGGTCAGCAGGTGCAAGTCTGCAGCGTAGCATACAGCACGTAGGAAGCTGTGTCAGACAGCAGACTGTTCACACAATGTTTGCCCCACTGCTGTTTGGCTCAAGTTCAACCTGCCTCCAGGCAAAAAAGCGCCAAACATATTTTCTTGGTGGCGGAGCCCGTGGCTCGCCCCACGTGGTCCAGTGCGTGTGGATGATTCCGCGAAGCACGGCCCCTCGGGCAATGGCCGCAGCGGGCGCGCGGCGCAACCGATTTAGGTTGCGATGTAACGTTGCCCGAAGTCCGGGAGGCATGCCGATCCGCGGAACTGTGCAATGCCGGTTGCGAGAGCGGAGACTTCAGGCACATTGTCACGGCGTTCAAAGCCAACCACGTTATTCTTCGAATGCAGTGTTACACAGGGCACCAGGACAGCTGGCAACGATGCGTTTACAATCTTGCAAAATAGCTATAACGTGAATGTAAATTTGCTCTCAGCTAGCAACGAACAGTTCAGCAACTGGAGGAAACCTGTGAGGAAATAGTTTCAGCATAATGCGAGCGAGCATCTCGGAACATGTTACCAATATTGTTGAGGCAAAGCTGCCTGCAAGAAACGCCAGGCAGGCGGAGGTGGAAACAATCTCGTGAGCGAACGCAGCGCTGTCCAGCTGTTAAAAAAACGCTATCGTGTGACAGGACCAAGGTCAGAGAACGGAGCGAAAATCTGATGCGCGCTCTCGCCAACGTGAAGCATTGTTATCGGAGCTCCGCAAAACAACTTGAGCAGCAAGCTCGACAGCATGGATGGGCCATTTCCCGATGACGAAGATGGCATGGAGGCAAACAAGGGGAGTTAGACGGACTCGACCACTTCAAGTTGGACGAGGGCCTCTGATACTTGTCACATGACAGATTAGAGGGTACAGAGCCACAGGGGGACACTTCAGGGTCTACATGCATGGGTCTGGCTTACCCAAAAATTGTTAAGCGGTATTTTGCGGCCACCAGAGCCGCATCTTCGCATAATTCGAAGTTCCCCCTGATGTCCGAAACGGCGAACTACGTGAACTACGTGGCCGTGGGCTTCGGCAGTGGCGCACTTTAGTGGAATGCTTGGAACACGATGGGTTTGCCTAGTCGTTACCCCTGCCATTCAGGACTGCAGCCTTGAGGGTCGTGATGGCCCATGCAGGTGCTTGGTTTGATGACTGGCAATAAGATTACTTCACAATTCTGGTGTCGTCGGACATCGTTAAGCGCGAGGTAGGGGCAGGTAAGAAACACTAGACGCCGATCCGAAGAACAACCATGCAAGTGACGCTGTCCAAGTAAACGGTGGCGACGGTGGAAAGTGGGACACGAGTGGAGAACGAAGCAGGTTATCTCCACGGTGCGGGGCCCTGGTGCGCGGGAGATTCAGCCAGGAATGACAGCGCGAACGAAGTTTGTTCAGAGAGATGATGGGCAGGGGGTCCACGTGTCACAGGCGCGGAAGGCGTGTGCTCGCAGGTAAGGACTTTGCCGCCACAGAGGCCGCAAGAGGAAATGGAGGCGGAAGAGGAGTACACAAGGACCACAGGTTACCAAAGGGCGCAGGCAGGCGCATGCAGAGGGGGCTGTCAAGGCGCCGCGGGTTGCCTGGAGGAACGATGCAGGGGGGGCTACAATGGGGCCCCCGAGGAAGTTGCCAAAGGGGCCGAGCCCCAGGCTGGCAGGAGGAGGTGGGGGAGGATTCGCGCCGATCAGCGAGAGGGTCGCGTCGCAGCTGGCTGCCCCGAGGACGCCGACGAGGTTGCCCTGCGTCGAGGGGGGCAGGGGGCCCAGTGGAGCCCTCGCAGCTGTTGGGACAAACTCTACTAGGGTTGGGTTGCTACAGCGTTGAGATAGGCGAAGTTGTTGGCGCGCGTGGAACAGCTGACGACCGCGAGCAATAGGAGCCGGGTGAAAGTGACGCAGGAGAGGACGAAGTGCCCGGCGACGACGAGGAGGGACAGGGGGGCAAGGATCGGGATCAGGATGACGCGTGCGTCGCATGAGCGCTGCGTGAACTGCGACCACGGCCCCAACTGGGAAATCCGAGTTACGAGATGCATCCAGCAGGGGAAAGTTCGATGCGCAACGTGATCATGCTCATCCTAGGGGCTGACGTTAGGGGGGTTTTCGGATCTGTTCGTGAGATGGTCGACGCGGGGTATCGCGGCGTGTTGGATCGAGACAAGGGTTGGCGATCTTGCAGCTACCTCGGGCATAGGGAAAAGGGCACAATACGATGATCTGCTAGGAATTTCACCACCTGGGCCCAAGGGGGCCGATGTGTCCAGAGGGGTCGAAGAAGTTGGACAGGACCACTGCGATGAGAAACGCGCGGGCCTTCCCGGGCGGGGAGCTTTCCTCGCGGTCCTATCTCGTTGAGTCCGTCTGGGCCTGCGTGCCCCGTCCAAACTCCAAACTTCAGTCGCCGCGAATCTGGGGACGGCCGAGAGGACGAGGAAGGGGGCGGTGAGTTCAGTGACTCGGAGGGCGTGCCTGCTTAAGTGGAGGCCAGGGCGCCTGGGCGGATTGCGCGTGACCTGGGGCCGAGCAAAGTGGAGGATGAGTTGCGCGCTCCAACCGAAGCTGGCGCCCCCACTTCGTCGGCAGTTATGCGAGGGGGGATCGGGTAGATACCGCATGGGGCGGCGGGGCAAGAAATGCCGGATATCCCAGTTGTCTTCGCGCTGGCCATGAGTCGCTGTGGTGCCGAGTTAACCTGGGACCGGGTTTGATCCAACAACGGCGTGGGTCACTGTGCCAGATTTTGCGTTCTGATTCTGTTTACTTGACGCAGTCAGCATGATCTCCGAGAGTGTTGGTGAGTCATCCATAGCGGCGCTCGCGGGCGCCGCCGAGCCCTCTCGTGACTTCAACCTGTGAGTGGAAGTTCGCTCTCTTGGAGACTCGCTAGCAAATCATATTGTCGAGAGGGATATCAGAACAGTGAAGAGTGCTCTGGGCAACAAATATACAGTTATTCGGAGAGGAGCGCGCTCCCATGCCTTGCTCAGAAACTTACACGTCTGCTCGTGCCGACGAGTTCACGGCGCATGCCGATGGCGCGACAGCCCGCCCGAGTAACCGCTGCCCGAGCTGCCGAGTTCGAGCCGGGGGCAGAGTTTCAAGCGACCGTTGCCCACAATTGGAGGGCGCATCGTGGGCCGGGGGATTCCGCTTGCAGAACGAGGCAATTTCTTCGAGGCGCGGCGGGGGGGCGGCGTTATCCCGGGCGCGCGCGAGACCGGCCGAGCGCCATTCGCGGGCGCCGCGCAGGGCGCCGTCGCGTCGCGCGAGCTCGGGCGCAGAGGAAAGCCACGAGGAGAAGTGGAATGTATATTGGGAAGCGTTTACCGTGGCCACCTTGCCCTGGCGCGCTTGGATTTGGACGCCGGGGTGGGAGTGGCGCTGCCGATGGCCCGTTCGAGGCGCGGCCGTTGGCGCCCGGTCAGTCTCGGCACGAGGGGCTGCCGCGGTCGGAGCGCGCGGCCGCGGGGCCCGTGCCCGGGCGCCGCGTGCGCAGAGCGATTGCCGGGGGGGGTGGGGGGGTGGGGCATTTTACCGCGCGGCGCGGAGTTCTGCGGGCGCGCAATCGCACGGCTTGACAACGTCGTGAAACCAGAGCAAACATGCATGCGCATAGGGGCACCTGGGGCAATGGCCCTGGGGCGATTGGGCAGCGAGAGACGACGACGCGTCGTTCATTCGCATAGCGGGCGAAGTAGAGGATGCAGGCGATGTTTGGGGAGGAGGGGCCGAAGCGGGGCCGCGAGGGCCTTGGGCGGGGTGGATTGAGTTCCCGCGCCATCTCCGGCAGCAGTGGCTCCGAGCGCCCGGCCCGCCCCCCTCTCTCTCCAAGGCCAGCGGCGGCAAGACGGAGAGGCAGAGGGCCCGCGATGCGACGAGAGGGCCAGCCGCGTTAGAGATAGATGGGGCCAGGAGAGAGAGACGCGGCGAGAGGGCGCAGGGGCGCGAGGAAGTCAGGGGCCCGATGCGCGAGCGTTCCAGAGAGCGAAATTGAGCATGTTCGCGACGGCCCGGACAATCTGAACATCGGTGACGCATGATGGGCTTGGACTCCGATGCTGTGGCGTTGTTGCTTGACATGATCGCGGGTGTCATCCGGCGCGTCAACGAAGTCAGGGGAGCTGCGGGGTTCGACGGCAAAGATCCGCGCAATTTGCAGACTCGCATTTCCGCGGCTCACTCGCCAGTGCGAGTCTCCGGTATGTCGGGGAAATTGGGGCTCGTGCCCGGCGTTGCTATGGACTCGACTACGCGCGGTGAGTATGGGGGCCCATTGGATTGCAAGTTTGAAGCAGTGTGTGTGTGTGTGTGTGCAACAGCCAATCATATTGCCCATGATAAAGCACCCCTATTGGCAATGGTAGGCCCAGTGGGCGTCACTTTCAGTGGGCTGCACGTTTCCAAATGCGAAGAGAATCGCGCCAGTGCGGGGAAATGCTTGACTGCGGGGTGGGGCGCCTCAGATTTGCGTTGGGTCTGCGTGACGCACGAAAGAATTCGGGGCTCGACTTTCCCTTTGAAACGCGCCCCAGGAGCCTCAAGCTCGGCCGCGACGCCGCTGCAGACGATGTTGTAGCGCGAAGGAGTGCAGACACGTGACGGGGGTCTATGCCGTTATAGCGCGAAACAAACTATGAAAGGATACCCCGAATACACAAAGGCGGGCGTGCTCGCAGAACCCCCCCCTCCCCCTTCGAGGGGGGGGGGGGGGGGGGGGGGGATTTTCGACCCCCCCACCCCCCCTTCCCCCTTCAGGGGGGGAGGGGGGGGGGGGGGGCAGAACCTTCCCCCCCTCCCCCCCCCCCTTCCCCCTTGAGGGGGGAGGGGGGGGGGGGGGCGGATTCCGGACCCCCCCCCCCCCCCTCGCGCTGGAAGGGGGGGGGGGGGGGGCGTCTCGGGTAGTGAGGGGGGAGTAGGGTGTTTTGAGTAGCGATTGGTGAGTAGTGGGCATTTGTTAGTGAGTAGTGAGCAGTGAGTCGTGACTGGTGAGTAGTGAGTAGTGGGTAATGGGTAGTGGTAGTAGTAGTGAGTAGCGCGTAGAGATTAGTGAGTACTGAGTTGTGAGTAGTGGGTAGTCAGTAGCGGGAAGGAAGTAGTGAGTAAGGAATTGTGAGTAGTGAGTAGGGAAGGGTGGGTAGTGTATAGTGAGTAGTGCATAATGAGTTGCAAGGAGGGAGTAGGGATGAGGGAGTAGACAGTAGCGAAGAGCGAAGAGTGAGTAGTGAGTAGTGAGTAGTGAGTAGTGCGCAGTGAGTACAGTGTAGTGAGTAGTAGTGAGTGGTGAGTAGCGAGTAGCAAGTAGCGAGTAGGGGCTAGCAAGTGGGGAGTAGCGAGTAGTGAGTAGTGATTAGCGAATAGGGCGTTGTGAGTAGTGAGTAGTGAGCTGGGAGTAGCCAGAAGTCACTGGTGAGTAGTGAGTAGGGTGTAGTGCATAGCGAGTAGGGAGTAGCGAGTAGTGAGTAGTGAGTAGTGAGTTGTGAGTAGGGAGTAGGGAGTAGTGAGTAGTGAGTAGTGAGTAGTGAGTTGGGAGTAGTGAGTAGGGAATAGGTAGTAGTCAGTAGTGAGTACTGGGGGCGTAGTGAGTAGTTAGTAGCGGGTAGTGAATAGTGCGTATTGGGTAGCGAGTAGGGCGTAGGGAGTAGCGAGTAGTGAGTGGTGAGTAGTGAGGACTGTGTAGGGAGTGGCGAGTAGTGGATAGTGAGTAATGCGTTGTGGGCAGTGAGAAGTGAGTAGTGAAGTGTGAGTAGTGGGTAATGGATAGTGGTTATCGGGTAGTGAGTAGTGAGGTGATTAGTGAGTAGTGGTAGCGAGTTGTGTTTAGTGGGTAGTGAGTTTTGATTTTTGGGTAGTGAGCAGTAAGTAGTATGTTGTGAGTAGCGAGTAGGGAGTAGGGAGTAGGGAGTAGTGAGTAGTGCGTCGTGGGTAGTGGGTCGTGGGTAGTGAGTAGTGAGTTCTGAGTAGTGAGTAGTGGGAAGTGAGTAGTGAGTAGCGAGTCGTGAAGTAGTGCGGAATGAGTAGTGAGTGCTGTTTGGGGCTAGGGTTTGGGTTTGGGGTTAAGGGTTTGGGGTTAGGGTCAGGGTGAGGATTAGTGTTAGGGGTGGTAGGGGTCGGGTTCCGGAGGCCGGGAGCGCCGTGGCGAAAGGGGGGGGGGGGCTCGAATTGGGCGGCCAAAAGGGGGGAGAGGGGGGGGGTCGGACCCCCCCCCAGGGGGGGAGGGGGGGAGGGATTCCCCGACGACGGACTGGGAAAAAAGGGTGGGAGGTTCCCCGACGACGGATCGGGAAAGGGGGAAAAGGGGGAGGGGCCCCCGACGACGGATCGGGGACAGGGGGTGCGGTCCCAAACGCCCCCCCCCCTCGGGGTCATCCAGCGGCGCGCCCCCCTAGGGTGGGCATCGGCATAATGACTTAAATGGAGGAGGCCGAATGAAGAAATCAGAAGCAGCACCCGACCGACATGCCGAGCTAATTACGCGAATTGGCTGGCCAGGCGCCGGCAGACGATCCCAGGGCGCCCCCCCCAAGGCCGCGCGGCCCAGGCCCAGGCAGTGTCTCGTACCTGTGGTGCATCCGGCAGTACCTGAGTACCTGATTACCTGGGCCTGGGTTTACCTGGGCCAGCAGAGACTACGGCGCGCGTCGCCGCGCGCCCTTTGAATGTCCAAGGCCGCTTTGGAACTCGCGCTTGCGCCGAGCCACTCGCGACGTGGACCCCGACGGGATTGTCGAGGGCGGGGGCTGGCGGGGCCATGGGGAAGGAGAGGAGGAAGGGTCCAGAGGAGGAGCTCGCAATCTTGCCGCTAGCTCCGCCTGCGACTCTGCGCGGGGCATCTGGCCTCATCGATGCATCTGTCGGGCGCGCCTGCGCCGCGGACGTCGCGCGGGGGCGTTGCAGGCGCGCCCCCAGTTGCCCGGGGGGCCGCGCGCGCAGCTCATCGGGGGGGTGGTAGAGCAGGGGCCTGGGGCCGCGCGTCGCGGAGTGAGCTCGAGCCAGATTTCACGTTCAAGACCTGAGAAGAGGAGATGGATCAGCCCAGGGAACACATGGTCGTTGAGCATGTAATGCTGGAGGAATGCAGGGCCGTTGCCGGCCATGCTCCCACGGGCGCCAGTTGGATTGAAATGCGCGAGGGTGATGAGGTTCACGCTGAGTGCCGATCCCGTTGAGCGCCTCAGAGTTTAGGTTTTGACCGTGCAATGCCAAACAAATAAATACCACATTAGCTGTTGCCCTCCACTGGGGTTGCAATTGCTGCTGATCCCCATGGCAGTTGCCGAGGGGCTAGGGCGCGACCGAGAGGAGAGTGAGGAAGGGCCAAAACTTCGGTTTTTACATGTTAGGCGCGCATGCCTTTTCGCCAAGGCTAGTGAGAGGATCTTCGCCGCGCAGGTTGCCCCAAGAAGATCATGCGCCAGGCATGCGTGGTAGATTGTGAAAATCAATATACGGCGCCAGGGGCGCTGCCAGCAACTGGGAAGTCTGGTGTGTGAATTTCGCACGCGGCTTTGGCTTCGATGCCGGGGAGACGGCCACGTGCGTGTTTGCACATAAGACGGCGGATCTGGCTAATGCCTCATGGGGTTGATCGTATTTTATATGTGTGCGAATGTTGATCTGGACACCGGTTCAAAGATGAATGCAACAGTAATTTCGACGTCGAATTCCTTAGCAGACTTGGTAGGCCAGGGGCAGTGCAGAGTGAGATGCGAGAGTGGCAGGTGCAGTGGAGCTTCCGTATGAGGAGATAGACAAAGCGCCCCTGATACCAAGCATTAGTGACCAGGGGGAATATCTTGCACCGGACCGAGTGGATATGCAGGTGTCAGTCAAGGAGCTCGCTCGTTATATGCCAGAATCAACACGAGGGGCATGAGCCAGTCTTGCGAACTTGGTCAAGCACCTTAAGGAACGCAACCAGTGGTGGTCTCCAGTACTTGTCTCACGAACGCACCGGGAGGTTAACGGTGGGGACAGGCGCCAGTTCTGAAGTTTGGAAGAAAACGAGGGACTGGCCAAGCGGAGGTGCAGTGATGAGGGGGCTACATGTTATCAGGCCGTAGAGGTCTGCCCAGAGCGCGATGGCAATATTTTCTGGAGAAGGGGAGCTGCGCGGAAACATCCAGGGTGCCTCAGTAGCCCTAGGATTGCAAGCGGTTCTCAAGGACTTTGAAGATTGCGGCATCTCGTTTAAAGAGCACTGCGAGTTCAGCCGTTGCAATTGCGAGCGGGCGCGGGCTGGGACAAGTCAGCCACGTCGAAGTTTGCCAGCTTTGCTTACACAAGAGAGGAAGACGAAGAGACATCAGAGTGATCACAGTAAGCATCCATGGGAATTTTCCGCCCGCTTGAACTATGTAAGCAGGGACAACAGGTGCTTGCATATGCGAGGTACCAAACAACATCTGGTAAACGGAAGGCACTGGCTGGTGCCCGCTGCGGGGTGCTAGCTTAACTTGTATCCGGGTTCTGATCTCAGGCCGCTTTGCCATGGACTTGAGCTCGGGGTCCGTTGGGATTCAGGTTCTTGCCTTTGCGAGTTCAAAATTGTAGTATAGAATGCGTTGTGCATCTTGCACAGCTCAGTACTCTGCGACACTTTGAAATACTTGTATCGCGTTTTAGGAGTCCCCTGTGCCTTTACGCATAATTCGTACCCGCCTTCTTCTTGCAGTTGTGGTGTTTTTTGTTGCACATCATCATATGGGTTGATTTGCTAGGATGGGGTCGTGGCTTCGTTGCACTGCCCATTTGCTTCAATTTCGTCCGCCGCACCTTCGCTTATGTTTTTCATATGCCACCTGTTGCCACATCCAGATTATCAGCCAACGGGGGGGTGCGGGATTATAGCGTTCCGAATGGGTGGGCAGGTGCGCTTTCGTGGTGTATCATGCAGCAGATCGGCAACTGTGTCCGACAGCAGGGTGTTTACACACAGTTGTTCCTTCTCGTTGTTTTGCTCAAGGTCACTATGCCTCCAGGGAAATAAAGGCTCGTACCATTTTCTCAGGAGGGAGGCAAGTGGAGGTGACATGAAAAAGGCGCGCTACGCACGCTCGCGCCACAGCTGACATCTTCTCCGTGCCTCCCATCCTTGCCCGTTGCGCCGACTCTTCTACAACAGCGGACGCATGTCATTGCCGACCTGGAACTCCAAGTGGCGACTCTGTCGTGATATGCGCAATCGTAAAACATGGGAGTTGAGTGCATAGGAGGACGAGGAGGAGGGGGTGGCGGGTGATCAGCAGGATCAGCAAAGGGCGGAGGATATGGAAGAGCACCATGAGCAGGAGGACCAGGGGAAAGCGGAGGAGGGGACATGAGGGGGGCGACATCGATGAAAAACGATTTGTATCCAGAAATGTGGACCGCGTTGGGGCGAGCGCGCCGTCCTTAACGACGGGAGTAAAGTGCCGATGTGAAAATGGGACCAAACGTGCAGCTGGAACGCCATTTGGAAACACCGAAAGTTTCGGATGGCAAAACAACGACACCTCTTTGGTCCAATCCTGCGTGGAGGAGTTCAATCCGCGGGAAGTGCGGAACATCTTCCGGACGTAATCACGGAAAATGGGAACATAGTGTTCATATCGAGTAGTTATATAGCGGCGGAAGGGGGATAAGGATGATGAGGTGGCGTGGAAAAGGAGGAAGAAGTGGAGGAGGAGGAGGAGGAGGAAGAGGAGGGCGACGAACGACGACGACGACGACGACGACGACGACGACGACGACGACGACGACGACGACGACGACGACGACGACGACGACGACGACGACGACGACGAACGACGAACGACGAACGACGACGACGACGACGACGACCCGCAGAGCGTACTCGTGTGCCGAGGACGCCGAGAGCGCCCCGCCGCCTCCGCGAGCTAAGCCTGCGCAGGGGGCGGCGGCGGAGGCGGACTCCGATGAGTCCGAGCCGGGGCCCCAGCGCTGCCCCCGCAGACGAACATTCTGTTCGACTGCGCGTGCGAGTGACTTCTCGCCGGCCCGGAGGAGGAGGAGGAGGAGGAGGAGGAGGAGGAGGAAGAGGAGGAGGACCAGTGTAAATCCAAGAGTCACCAGCGATGTTGGAATAAAGCCTCCCCCCAAGCTCCCTCTTCATAGGCCCCTACCACGGTTCACTTCCACAAATGGACCTGCTTCGTTGGAAGACAGCCGCTTGAAAATCCTGAAGCATGCCAATACATTTCTTTCGGCATTCCAACGCCACGGATGAATCTGATTGTTGCGTCTTGACGATCCTGAATCGTACCAGAACGCCATTCCTGGGACCTCAACTCCGCGAATCGTCTTAACTGTCGCGCCCTCAAGATCGTGATCCCTTCCAAAACACCATTTCTGGTACGTCGATCCTGGGAATCCGTGACTCTTATTTTTGCAATTTTGTATCCAGAATGCGCGCGGCGCTAAGGCGAGAGCCACATTTTGAAAAGGAGCCGCCTGCAATCCGTGAAACTCTTGCAAATAAAAAAACGAATGCTCGCGGGGCTAAGGCGAGAACCACATTTTGAAAAGGAACCGCCCTCAACCCGTGAAACGTTTGCAAATGTTGCAAATGAATGTGCTCGGCCATAAAGCGAGATATTCATTTTGAAAAGGAGCCGTTCTCAATCCGTGGAACTCTTGTAATTTTTTGAAACGAGAGTGCGCGGCGCTAAGGCGAGACCAACATTTTGAAAACGGCCCGCACTCAATGCGTGCAACTCTGGCAAATGTTGAAACGAATGTGCGCGGCGCTGAGGCGAGAACAACATTTGGAAAACCGATCGCAATCCATCGGTAAAACTGCTCCGATGCTTTACAACGAATGTGCCCTGCGCCAAGGCGAGAGCCACATTTTGAAAACGAGCCGCCCTCAATCCGTGAAGCTCTTGCAAATTTTGAAAGCGAATGTGCGCGGCGCTAAGGCGAGAACCACATTTTGAAAACCACCCGCTCTCCATCTGTGAAAATGCTGCCAACATTTAAGCTTCAGGGTCACGAGTAATGAGGAAGTCTCAGGCGAAACGCCCGGCCCGCCCTAATAGCTGGCTTCGGGGTGCGACAGGGAGAAGTTATGTATAAGGAGAAGGAATGGAGGAGGACGATGAGCAGGAGGAGCAGGAGGAGCAGGAAGAGCAGGGGGAGCAGGATGAGCAGGAGGAGCAGGAGGAGTGCCCCTTGGTGCTGGCCCAGTGGGGCCACCCGATCGTTGAATGCTGTGCGATAGCAGCGGCTTGCGTGCTTGGTTTCGGATCCCCCCGCCCCCCCCCCCCAAAGCCGCGCACCGCGCACCAAAGCTCACTCTTGCCTAGGTGGGGCGACTCCTGCGTGTAGTGGCCGCGAGAAGCCCCCCCTGCCAAGAATCGAGGGGTCGAAGAGGTTCGAGGATTCCGAAGATCTAAGGAGGATCTCGAAGACAATCTCATACACTCTCGGGGTCCAGAACTTTGCTGTCTGTGCCGATCTCTCTTCCTGCAGGATCGAGGGGTCCAGGAGATTCCAGGAGCGAAGGGTCCACTCCGGGCCCCTCGGTGCCCGCCTCGGGCCCCGGGGCCGTCACGAACCGATCAGTGAGGAAGAGCTAGGCAGGACGGGCCCCGGAGGGGGGCGCGGGCACCGCTTCTGGAACGGACTTCGAGGATCCGAGGGTCGAGGACAGGCTCTGGGGCAGGAGCTGGGGACGAAGGGGCCGAGGGGATTGCTTCCCCCTCCTGGGCAGGACCCGCCGTCCAAGGCACCGCAACTTCGGCCGCCCGTGGCGAGATATTCGCGCCAGCCCAGCGGCGGTCGCTGCAAGTGGCCGCGCGAAGTGGAGACGATGCCCACACGTGCCTGCTGTCGGCACCGCCTCCACTCTTGCCGCCCGCCTTCGGGGACAGCTCATCGAGGCCTCCAGACCTCAGTGGCCTCCTCCGGGCACCCCCGGAGGCCTCGCGGGTGCTTGCGAACGAGGAGCCCTCCCATCGACCCGCGTGCGGCTCCGGCGTGCACGGGTGGCGTGCGCCGCGCACGCCGGGCAAGCTCGCGAGGCGAACGAGGGCCCCAGGGGTGGCCAGCCCGACCTGTGCGGGCAGCCGCGGGAGGCTGCAGGCGGTGGTGGCGGATGGTGGCGGTGGCGGTGGCGACGGTGGCGGCGGTGAGCGATGGCGGTGGTGCTGCTGGCGAGGGTGGTGCTCGGAGTGGCGCCGCCAGGTGGGGTGGTGGTGGTGGTCATGCTGCTGCGGATGGGGGTGGCGACGGTGATGATGATGAGGATGGCCGTGACGACAACGCTGGTATCGGTGGAGACGACGACGATGTGACGGCGACGATGACGATGACGATAATAAAGACGATGATGATGGTGATGATGATGCTGACAATGATGATGATGATGCTGATGATGATGATGATGATGATGATGATGATGATGATCTTGATAGTGACGGTGATGGTGATGATGACGATGATGATGCTGATGATAGTGATTCTGAGGATGATGACGATGGCGATGGCGATGGCGATAACGTTGACGACAATGACGACGACGATGACGACCGCAAGTCTGAGAAGGAGAAGCAGTATACTGACGATAGTGATGATGATGGTGATAATGATGATGATGATGATGATGATGATGATCATGATGATCATGATGATCATGATGATCATAATGATGATGATCATGATGATGATGATGATGATGATCATGATGATCATAATGATGATGATCATGATGATGATGATGCTGATGCTGGTGATGATGATAATGAACATGGTGGTGATGATGAGGATGATGATGATGATGATGGTGAAGGTGATGGTGATGGTGACTGTGATTATCATGGTGGTTGTGGTGATGATGATGATGATGATGATGATGATGATTATGATGATGATGATGGTGATGATGATGATGATGCTGATGGAGAAGATGATGACGACGATACATACGAGGAGGATCAGCAATATGATGGTGATGATGATGATGTTGATGATGACGGTGATGATGCTGATGATGATGCAGATGATGATGTTGCTGCTGATGATGGTGATGGTGATGGTGATTGTGATGGTGCTGGTGATGAGGATCATGATTATGATGATGATGATGATGATGATGATGATGATGATGATGATGATGATGATTATGAAAATGATGATGATGATGATGATGATGATGATGATGATGATGATGATGATGATGCTGATGATGATGATGATGATGATGATGATGATGATTATGATGATGATGATGACGAAAATAATAATGACGATAACGATGGTGGGTGATAATGGCGATGGCCAAGACATTTCCCCAGGCCTCTTCCTGTCCGGTCGCTCCCCTCCGCACCGCCTTCTTGCCTTCTACCCCGTGGCCTCCGCTGGGCCCTCGGCGCGCGCTCGATTCTTCGTAGTCCCTCGGCCATCCTCTCCGCCCTGTTGCCATCCTCTCTGCGGACTGCGGCACAGTGGACGCGGCCAGCCTTCGACGGCGCGGGCAAGGGCAAGGGCAAAGGCAAGAGTCGAGTCGTGGACGTCGGCCTCGCTCGCTTTAGCGTCGCGGCCACGCGCGCGGCGGCGCGGCAAGGTCAACTCGGGCAGAGGGCAGACAACACACGCACACGCAAACACGCACACGCACACGCACACGCACACGCACACTCACACGCACACGCACACGCACACGCACAAGCACAGAAACGCACACACGCACACGCGCACACAGACGCGCACGCACACGCGCATACACGCACACACGCACATACGCACACACGCACACACGCATTCACGCACACATGCACACACGCGCACACGCACACACGCATTCACGCACACATGCACAGACGCACACACGCGCACTCGCACACACGCGCACACGCACTTACGCACACACGCACACACGCATTCACGCACACATGCACAGAGGCGCACACGCACACACGCACACACGCACACACGCACACTCAGAAACACACACGCACGCACACACACACACACACACGCACACGCACACGCACACACACACACACACCTACACACGCACACACGCACACACACGTACACACGCACACACACGTGCACACACGCACACGCGCACACATGCACACATACATACACACAAAGACACACACACACATACACACACACGCACACACATACACACTCACACATACACACACACACGCACCACCCGGCACATGCAGCACACGGCACCGTTCAGGGCGTGCGGTCTGCAGTGCGTGCTGCGTGCGGCACAGCAGGCGCGCAGCGCAGCGTGGACGGCTTAGTTTGTGCGGGCAAGGACAATGACAAGGACAAGGGTCGCGTCGTGGACATCGGCCCCGCCTCCCTGCTGCCAGCCTAGGGCCTTCTCCTGCCCTTGTCCGCGGGCTCGTTCACGATCGTTCTGTCTCGTGGGCCACCGTGCTAGCACGCAGGCCGACCTGTGAGACCTGGATTCCGGAGGAATCCTGGGGAATACTTTTTGGGAATCTTGCGAATTCCTCACCAGCCGTTCTCAGGATTCTGGGGTATCTTTCCAACTCCCAATTGAAACCAGAAGGGTTCTTTTGGAGGGACACTATGTGGATTCATCTGCATTCTTTGATTTTCTTCCTGGGAGAGGCCTCGGGAGATCTTCGTACACATTGTTAATTTCTAAGTATTCGAAAGTTCTTTGATTTTTGTTGGGGGCCAAGATCCTCTCACCTCTCATCTCTAATTGTTTTATCCTGGGCCTCTTCCTGACCACTAGGGGGCCAGGAACAATTAGAAACGAGCACAATTAGAAATGAGCACGATTAGAAATGAACGACGTGTCTTCTGGAGGTGATCCCCAGGATTCCAAAGAAGTCACTTTTTCCTTTAAGCCCTCTGAAGATTCCGCAGAACTTGGCCGGATTTTCTGAAGACAATCCTGAGAAGTTCTGGCTTCTGGGGGATCCTTCGGCCTCTCAAGGAAATCCTTGCCGCTCCTTGCGGCCTCCCTTGGAAATCCATAGGAGTCTTGACGAAAGTCGTAACGCTCAGACTGCAAGGCCCTCACGGCCCAGTCCGGCCAAGCTGTAAAGGGACCAGCCAGGACGGAAGAGGGGGGAGGAGAAATGATCAAAGGCAAGGGGCTTCCCCTCGGCTCGACTACGACATTGTTCGATTCCCTCTGTGTTGTAGCATGCTCGTCGGGTCAAGTCGGCCTCGTTCTTGTTCTTGCACCCGGGCTTCGGAAGAAGAGCAACTGACGCCACATGCTTTCCTGTCTCGGCTGGCTCAGCAGCTCTCTTGGCACAAGACCACCCCCCCGCGCGCCACCCGCCCCTTCGTTTGGGGCCGCCCCATCGCTGCCACCTATGTTCTTCTCCTGCGAGCGCGTCTGCGGCGGCCGCGACCCCGCGACGGACACCGTCCGCATCGACCTCCCGCTGGACGCGGCGGGCCCGGCGCGGGCTGGGCAGGAGCCCCCGGTCCCGGAGTGCGAGCCGGCCCCGGCGGCGGCGGAGCAGGAGGGGGACGAGCGCCGCCGGGCGGAGGAGGAGGAGGAGCGCCGCCGGGCGGAGGAGGAGGAGGAGCTGCGCCGCGCCGAGGAGGACCGGCGGCGCCTCGCGCGGCTGGAGGAGGAGGAGGAGGCCCGCGCGCGCGCGGAGGCGGCGTCCCGGGAGGCGGAGCTCGCGGAGAGGGGTCGCCGCGAGCGCGAGGAGGCGCTGGCGGCGCAGGAGCGGCGCGCACAGGTTCGCCTGCCTGGAACTCGGGGGAGGACAGACCTCCTACCCTGACGTCGATTAAGGAATTGGCCGTTTTCGGTTCGCGAGAGGGCGTCGCGGCCGTCATTTTTGCGGGTCCAGGTCCGTCGGTTTCGGTCCCCGGCCGTTTTCACTAAGGGGAGGTCTACTAAAGGGAGGTTTGTCCACCTCCGAGGAACACTCATCCCTACCCTTCGTGTGACAAGGAGGTTCGGGGGGAGGAGCCAACGTCTCCCTCAATCGATCTCACTCCATTGATCTCACGGTTGATCTTACGATCTATCTTACGACCGATCTCACTATCGATCTCACTATCGATCTCGCGATCTCCCTATCCCTCTGAACATCGATCTTACTACCGATCTCGCTACGGGACATCGACGGGACACCCGCGGGACACCCCTGGCCACCGCCGGACGACCTGGGTGGGGTGGTCTTTTGGCTCGGCGGCGCCCCCAGCTGGAGGAGGGCTCAGTCCGTTCGCCCGCCCACGCAGTTTCGCCTCGCCCGTACGCACGACACGAACACGAAGCCGAAACCGATTTCCTGGTAATTAGGGGGGCTTCCTCTTTCACTGCGATCTCACCCCCTCGCCTCCGATCTCTCGAAGCCGATCTCAAGGATACCCCCGGTTTCTGAGGGCACGTCCCCAAGATTGTCATCGCCTCGGGCCTGCGGGTCCCAGGGATAGAGGTATGTTCGAGGCTGGCCAGGTGCAGGCCTTCCTGAGGGCGGAGGGCTTCGCGGACGTGGGCGCCCCGAGGCGCAGGCTACTCCGGAAGAGTTACCCGCTGCACCGCGCCGCCGAGCTGGGGAGCGGGCAGATGGTCGAGCACCTGCTGGCGGAGGGCGCCGACCCGTCCCAGAAGAACTCCTCGGGCCTCACCGCCGCTCAGGTGTGATGGGCCTGTTTCCCACCACCACCATAAGTTGGAGGGGGAGGGGGTTCTCCTCCTCCTCGTCATCATCATCATCATCATCATCATCATCATCATCATCATCATTATCATCATCATTATCATCATCATCATCGTCGTCATCATCATCATCATCATCATCATCATCATCTTTTTCATTACTATTATTACTATTATTTTTCATTACTAACATTATAATTCGTATGATTCGTATTCGTATTATTATGAGTATGCTTACTACTACTACTACTACTACTACTACTACTACTACTACTACTACTACTACTACTACTACTACGACTACGACTACTACTACTACTACTACTACTACGACTACGACTACTACTACTACTACTACTACTGCTACTATTACTACTACTACTACTACTACTACTACTACTACTACTACTACTACTACTACTACTACTACTACTACTACTACTACTACTACTACTACCATCATCATCATCATCATCGTCATCATCATCATCATCATCATCATCATCATCATCTTCATCATCATCAGTGTTATCAGTGTTATCAGTATTGTTAGTCTTATCATTGTTCTCATTACTTTTAGCATCAGCAGCATCATCATCCACCTTCTTCCCCCCAACTTATGGTGGTGGTGGTGGTGAACAGGCCCATCAAGGTGGCCTCGAGGAAGGACCGGGGGGGATCCCACGGCAGCGCGCTGAGAGCCCTCGGTGGCGCGTGAGGGGCGCCCGCTCGTCGGGCGGCGCGCGGAGGGGAGAGCGCCGTGAATCTGCGGCCCCCGCGGCCTGGCGGGCGGGCGGCAGCCGGAATGGCTGCCCAAGAGCTTGTGCCAGTGTTTGGACGCCCGGAATGGGTACGGAAGGAATGGGTGCAGTGCCCAAGCAGCAGTTACTGGTCATTTTGAACAGGATTCGCTGTCCACGCCGCCGCGGCCTGTGTCCATTCGAGACAGAAGGCCGCCTGCCCAACAGCGGCCGCTGTTGGTTTGGGACAGCATTTGTTGTTGGGCATTGTACCATTTTTTTCTGTACGCATTTCGGGCGTCCAAACAGTAGTAAGTCGGGCGGGTCCCTCTCCAGGGGGAGTCTTCGAAAATACTCCAAGAATAGTCTGGGGACGATGTGCCGCCTGTCTTTGACCATTTGGGGGTACTGTTTAGACTATCTCTTCTTTTTGCTGGCGAAGTCCGCCTGTAGGGGGACACGCCCGGCCTAATCCCAGTATCGTCTAGCTTATCCCCATCCCCGCCGGGCCAGGCTATCTCGGCCCCACCGTCTGGTCCCACCAGTTGGGGAACGGCTCCTCGAGGCCCGAGGGTGGCGGCCTGGACGCCCACCCGGGAGGGCAAGGCGGCCAGGGTCTTGGCATCGCTCGGACGTGTGCGTTTTTTCCTCGGCGAGGACCATCGAAAAGACCACGCACGAAACCGAACAAAAAACACAGGGAATGGACGTCCGAGCGATGGCCAGGGGTGGCCGAGGCCATGCCAGTGAGGGCAGGGATCGGTCAAACGATGCTCACTGCCCCCGTGCCAGACACCGCGGCACTCGCACCGGAATCGCGCCCTGGCCGCCAGACGCGCGGGTCGGGGCACAGGCGCCTTCTCCGCATAGCGGTGGAAGAAGACGGAAGAAGAAGCATGTCATCCTGTCTCGGACCGTGTGGATTGTGGTTCTAGGTGGTCCTAGGCCCCCCAGATGGGGTCGGAGTAGATGGGGTCGGAGGATCGCGCCGCATCGCCGATCCCGCTCGACGCGTATCCCGATGTTCTACACGCGGGCTGCGCCGATGCATCGCCGAGGTCGCCGATGCGGCGCGATCCTCTGACACCATCTACTCTGACCACATCCAGGAGGCCTCTACAGTCGGGGCCCTGAAGAAGGAACCCTTTTCGTTGGGGAGGGGCTCCGTGTTCCTTAATTGTTTCACCGTTTGCCCCACGTTTTCCTTAGGTTTTCATAGCGAAATCGAAGTTCAACTTCTGGAGAAAAGGGGCCTCGTTCCTCATTTAGGGTTCCTTAGGTCAATGCCCTGACGGTATCGTGGTTGCGCGGGAGGAAGCGCCCCGGCGGAGCTCCCGACACCACGATTGCGTGGCGGGATTCCTGGGCCCGGCCGATCTGTGAGGGTATACCTGTCCTTGGTCCCCCGAAGCCCAGCGAAGACGCCCGTCGTTGTGCTTGGTTTTGTTGGTGGCTCCATCCGCGACGCCCGGGGCGGACGGGTCTTCTGTGCGGCGTTCTGGCGTGCACCAGAGTTGCGTCAGCAGCAGCCTCGGCCAGGCCCGTCCGAGGCGCAGATGCGGTGTGAGTTGCCCCCTCCTGGCTCGGCCAGGAGGGCATACACACGAATGTTGGGCGGCGCAGGAGTGGGCATATCCAGGGTCGGTGTTGGTGCACAGATGGCGTCCCCGAGATGCCCCCCGATCCGTGCGGATCCCTACGCTCCTCTTCCTCCTCCTCCTCCTCCTCCTCCTCCTCCTCCTCCTCCTCCTCCTCCTATCCTCCTCCTCCTCCTCCTCCTCCTCCTCCTCCTCCTCCTCCTCCTGCATCTCCTTCTTCTCCTCCTCCTTCTCCTTTTCCTTTTCCTTCTCCCCTCTTGCTCTCCTCCTCCTCCTCATCATCATCATCATCATCTCCTCTTCCTCCTCCTCTCCTCCTCCTCCTCCTCCTCCTCCTCCTCCTCCTCCTCCTCCTCCCCCTCATGTTGGCCATGATCGGTGTTGGTGCATGGCAAACGTCCCCCTGGGGGATTTCTCCCTCCGCCGCCGTTGTCACCGTCGTCTTCGCCGTTCTGATGATCCTCGTCATGGTCCTCGCCGTCATCGCCGCCGACGCCGCCGTCGCCGTCGTCGCAGTGGTCCTCGTTCGTCGTCGCTGCCAGCGCCGTCGCCGTCTCCGTCGTGGTCCTCGTCGCGCCGTCGTCGCGGGCCAAGGTCCGATGATGCCGACGCGGCGGGGGACGAGGCGGACTCCAGCGAGGCCGCGTGCCTGTCGGGGCCGCGCGCGCGTCCAGGGTGGGGGGGAGGAGGAGGAGGAGGAGGAGGAGGAGGAGGAGGAGGAGGAGGAGGAGGAGGAGGAGGAGGAGGAGGAGGAGGACGAGGCGGAGGAGGAGGAGGAGGAGGAGGAGGAGGAGGAGGGAGGAGGAGGAGGATGAGCAGGAGGAGGAGGAGGCGGAGGAGGAGGAGGAGGAGGGAGGGAGGGAGGAGGAGGGAGGGAGGAGGGAGGAGGGAGGAGGGAAGGAGGAGGGAAGGAGGAGGAGGAGGAGGAGGAGGAGGGGAGGAGGAGGAGGAGGAGGAGGAGGAGGAGGAGGAGGAGGAGGAGGGAGGAGGGGAGGGGGGTCGGGCAGGGTCGGGGCCGGCGGGAGCGCCCGCGTGGCGCCGTAGCGGCGAGGACGGCCCTTTGGGGGGGCAGGAGGAGCAGAAGCGGAAGGAGGATGCACACGTAGGTGAATCCTCGTCGGTTTCGAGAGTGCGCGCTGCGCGAGCCTTCGTATCGCGCGACGGGTCTCGCGGACTGGGGGGCCCTGTTCACGCACGTGGGCGGGCGGGTGCGTCCTGTGGGGGCTCCCTAGAGGGGGAGGGGGGGGGGAGGGGGGGAGTGAGGGGGAGGCGGGTGTGGAGGGGAGGGCAGGGGAGGAGGAGGAGGAGGAGGAGGAGGGGGAGTAGGAGGAGGAGCATGGAGGATGGTGCAGGAGGATGGAGGAGGATGGAGGCGGAGGGAGCGGGGGATGGCCAGAGTAAGCCCAATAAGTATCAACGATGCTGCCGCACACCATCCCGTCTCAAATGCCCTCCTCATAGCCTGCTCCACACAGCTTACACCACAGAGCATAGACATGTATTGCACCGCGCTGCCTGCACCACTAGCTTAGCTTATACCACTTAGAGCACAGCACATTGCTTGCACCGCGCAGCTTGCACCGCAGATCGTACCCCACACAGCTTGCATCACATAGTTTACAAATCCACAGTGCGGCACCTTACCTTTTTGGGTCCAGGCCAGCAAACATTCTCTGTCGTTTTGCAAAAGTCGTTGCATTGCCATTACGTCAGGTCTCCACAACACAGCTGTGCGCTACACTGCCATTGCAACACGCTGCATTCGGTTCAGTCCTGTCACGGCTTTGCTGCGTGCTTGCCCTGCCCAGCTTTGCTGCACATTGATGTTGTACGGGCGCAGCCTTGTCTGCTCGGCTCTGGAACGTTGTCAACTGATGCTCGGGCAGCGTGGATACGTATGGGCGTGCACCTGTGCGCTGATCAAATGTTGGGCCTTCCTAGTTAGAACCTGAGCTCGCGCGAAGCGCGCGCGTGGTTCTCATTACTTAGTTGATTGCGTTGGGTACAACGCAGGCCCTGGCACAACAAAATTGAGGACGTCCGAGGCCTGATTATCTGGAGGCTTGCGGAGGTCTCCAGTTGTACGTGGGGGTCCTGGAGGCCTCGGACGGCCTCTGGGAGCCTCCCAAAACGGGCCGAACGCCGCAGAGGATCCTCGATCCTTGCAGCGTCCTCTCAGGCTGCAGGTCATGGGTGGTCGAAGTCAGCATCGGCCCTGAGATTTCCTTGGTGTTCTTCGGGCCCTATCTAGCGAACTCCTGCACAGCCCAGCTACATCTGGCCTCGTCTCATGTGCGCCCAGCCTGGTCCAGCCGAGGTTAGCTTCTCCTCTGACCCGATAGTTTCGAGTCGTGCCCTCGAAGACTTCCCAAGTGAGGCCACTCGGCGATCAACGTTCCACCCATGCTGCCTCCCCCCCCTGGGCGACAGTGGGGCAGGGCGTGCCTGGAAAAGCCTGGTCCCCAGCGGCCCGGCTCCTCTTCGCGCCTGGTCCCCCTCGAGGAGCCATGGTGCCCGTAGGGGCACGCCTGCCTTCACCGCACACAGCTCGACCGAGGTATAAAGTCGAATTCGTTTCGGGGAGGGTACCCTAAACTTCGTGTCTGCTGTATGTTCTCTTCTATCCTGGGGAGGGCACCCTTGGATATTATGTTTGTTTTGGCCGACGGAGGGTCTCGTGTTCTTGAGGGACGTTCTTCTGGCCTACAGTGGGGGCCTATGCCAAGAAACACCCTGCTTGCCTCCAGGGTGCCCTGGGTTTCTAGGGCTTCGATGGTTTTGCGATGGAGAGCGCAGCGTTCCCACGCCAAAAACCCATGGACGTCCCGGGGTTCCAGGGCTGATTTCCTCGTGGGGAGGGCTTCTTGTGGTCGAGTACCTGCTGCAGGTCCGACCGCACCCCTTCCCAACTCCCAGGTCTGCGGTGGCACCTAGCCTCCTGCTCCTGACGATGCACACCATGTGAACCGCCTGGCCATCCGACCCGCAGCGCTTCCCCTGGGGCAGGAGGATTCCCCCGACGAGCCCGCGGCGGAGACGGCCGCCAAGACTCCGCCGGAGGACCCGCGGGCACCGCTGTCGGGCCGAACGCAAGGGGGGGATCGGGAGAGGGGGGGTGACGAAGTCTGCTGCATGCAGCTGGTTTCAGCCCCGCCGAGGGGCCCGTTCCTCGCTACATAGCCGCCCCCGGCGCCGGGAGGCGCCGAGAAAATCAGCGACGTGAGCTGATTCTCCCCCCCCCAGACCCCCGACGTCATGATTTTTTCATGACGTCGACTCTGAGAGGTCTCGACCCATTCCCCAGGGCCGGTTTCTCGTCCTGAGTCGTTTTTCGACGGTCCCGAGGCCCGGTAAGGGCCTCACAAGGTTGAAAATACCAA